ACAACCCCGCTCGAGCGGCCAACTCCACGCTCGAGCGTCCAGCACTGCACAGAAAATATTGGATGGGTGCAATTCCTGCTCGAGCGCCAACACCCCCGCTCGAGCGGACAGCTCAAAATCTGGGCAACTAGTTTTGGTTTCTAAACTCAACTAACCTGTAACAAACCTGCCCAACACATCCTATAACTCAAATACGAAGTAAAAAGGATGCAAACAAGAAAATAAACAACTACCAACATCCACGGACACATGTCCGGATCACTGTACAACAAGGGTAAACCCGGGATCGCTATAAAACTCCTCCGACCATCCAACAAAGAAGGCTTCCTAAGGTTTATGAAATGGAACTGGGCAAAATGTACTCCAAGTGGAAACACATCAGCCTTGCTCACTTTGAAAAGGTATTCAAACTCTTCTATACTATCATAGCACAAATCTATTTAACACTCCTTTCACATTCATTGTAGTACAAATCATTTTATGAAACTGTGAAAATTTTCAGTTTCAAAACACACACTTATTTAACATCACTTATGTTATGAAACTATAACATTTTCAGTTTCAAAAAACATATTTCGACACTTAACCCACATTACTCACAGTACAACTCATCTTATGAAACTAACCAAATTTACAGTATTACTGATATATGCCACATTGTTCCAATGCAGGTTAACCAAAGTGCTTTAACCCCAACTGAACAATAAATACAGTTATTGCATATCAATCAAAGCACACTGTTGAAGGGGGTCAAATTCACAAAAGCCCAACAGACAGAGCTGCAAAAAACCCCTTTTTGGCCCCTTATAAATGCTCTCTCCTCAACACAACTGAAGGCCTCTTGGTGCAGATGCTACAATTCCATTGTAGCAGAAATGACAACACTCTACAACAAAAGAAAAAGATCATTTCTACTTGGCAAAAAGGAAATGAAACTTAGAAGCAGTGATGTCAAGCACATTTTTGGTATCGACTGTGGAGAAGACAATATCACCACCAAATCCTATGCAAGACCAAAGGATTTTGAGCTTCCATTTTACAAACGAAGATGCAAATCAGTCAAGAGATTGGATGGCAAGTCTTTGACCAAAATGTTTCAACAAACAAAAAAAGGAAAATCAACCAATGATTGTCAAGATCTTGCAAGGGTAATCACCCTTTACTTGTGCTTGAAACTTCTCATGCCCACAACAGGCCATACACTCAGTTGGAGTTTCCTCAACTATGTTGACAATCTCAACAACATCAAGAAGTACAATTGGGTTGAGGCCATAAAAGACACACTGATGAATTCAATGGCAAATGCAAACAACAACCTAAGGCATGTCACTGGATGCGTCATGTTACTCTTGGTAAACACATTACTCAACTACTTCCCACAAAAATATCAGACATCCACTTATTTCTAACTATCTAACATATTTCAATTTTCTTTTTTTACAGTACTGGTACTGTGAGCACAGTAAACTCCTCCAACCGTCCAACAAAGAAGGCTTCCCAAGGTTTATGAAATGGAACCTTGGCAAAATGTACTCCAAGTGGAAGCACATCAGCCTTGCTCACTTTGAAAAGGTATTCAAACTCTTCTATACTATCATAGCACAAATCTATTTAACACTCCTTTCACATTCATTGTAGTACAAATCATATTATGAAACTGTAAAAATTTTCAGTTTCAAAGCACACACTTATTTAACATCACTCATGTTATGAAACTGTAACATTTTTCAGTTTCAAAAAACATATTTCGACACTTAACCCGCATTACTCACAGTACAACTCATCTTATGAAACTAACCAAATTTACAGTATTACTGATATATGCCACATTGTTCCAATGCAGGTTAACCAAAGTGCTTTAACCCCAACTGAACAATAAATACAGTTATTGCATATCAATCAAAGCACATCAACAGACTCTTTAGCAAAGAAACAAGACCACAAAAAGGACAATAAGCAAAAAAAAAGAAAACAAAAGCAACAACAAAAAAAAAGACTTCTAGACAGTGATGATGATGACTTTCTCGAAGAAGAACATCATTCAGAATCAGAATCAGAATCAGAACAAGAAGAACAACAAAAAAAAAGAAAAGAAAGCAAAAACCACCAGAAGAACCAGAAAGTGATGAACAAGAAGAAAAGAGTGATGATGAAAAAAATCAAGTGACTGATGAAGAAGAAACTGAAGAAGAAGAAGAAACTAAAATTGAAGAAAAAACTGAAGAAGAAGAAGAAGAAGAAGAAGAAGAAGAAGAAGAAGAAGAACAACAACAACAACAACAACAACAACAACAAGAAAAAGAAGAAGAACCTGATGAACAACAAGACAATGATAAAGCAGAAGAAAGACAACAAACAAAAGGTGATCCACAAGAAGACCTTGATGAAGAAGAAGACCAACAACAAGAACAAGAAGAACAACAAACAAACCAACAAGAAGAAGTCAATGAACAAGAACTGACAAACCAACAAGAAGAACTGCAAGAGAAATCTGACATATTTCATGCACAAGGTAAACTATTGTCTAATACTAAAGCATACTGCAAAATTTCATTAAACTAACCAAAACACAATCCAACATTTTTATAGGTCATGACCAACCACAAACACCAACCAAAGAGGACGACAAGGACAAGCTCATATCAGCCATGAGAGCACAAATGCAAGAAATGGAACAAAAATTCATGGCTGAATTGCGTAAAAAAGAAGATCAATTGAAGGAAATGTCCACCAAAAAAACTGGCAGTCCCCAACAAAGATCCATGGTCAAAAGAATCAAACAAAAATCAAGAAAACAAGCACATGACCCAGATTTTGAATACCAACCAATGACCAAACCCAAAGAAGATGCAAGAAACAAGACACAAACTGCTGCTGATGTACCCAAACCAACACAGGGTACCGATGAAGAAAAAGAGAAGAAGAATGACAACAAAAAAGAGGGTGCTCATGAAGCAAAACAACAGTAGAAAGAAAAGATACAAGAACATATTGGCCAAGAGAAAGCAGTTGCTGCTGAAACAAACCTAAAAGAGCATGCCAATCAAGAGAAGACAAAAATTCAAGTATTGGAAAGTGATGATGATTTCAATGAAGAATCAATCCCAAACAAGCCACTCGCCATTTCATGCCGCAAAACAAACAAGGTTTGGCATAGCCTATCCAAAAAAGACCAAGACCAAATTCAACTCATCAACAACACACAATCAAGTGCTTGTGTCTGGTCTGGCAGCGAAGATGAAAACTGCATATACTTTTCAGATATATGCAGATTGACCAATAGGGAACCCTTATATGGGAATGTAGGTCTCCAACTGCACAATTTTACAGTTTCTGTACATATTCAATAACCTATTCCACAAACCTAACACATTCTCATATATAACATGTTTCAGGTCATTGATGCCTTCTCAAAAAAGCAATTGGCACTCCAACCAACCATTGAAAAATTTGAGAAAAACGATCTAGTCTTTGCAAACAATCCATATGCAGGAAGATCTTACGTTTTCTCAACACTCATCAATGTAAGCAAAACTTAACATACCTTACAACTGCAAAATTTTCTACTTTCTCAACATGTATTACTACATAGTTTTATAACATATTTCAAACATATCTATAACTTACAGACTCCACTACAAAACCAAGATCAAGCACTGGGAGAAAAACTGATGGACAGCCATTTTCCAGAAGCAATGAAAAACAGATATATCCATTTCCCAATCAACCACGACAACTATTGGACAATTGTGGTCTTTGACAATGCTGATGGAATATGGAGACACTATGACTCTTTGAGACCAGCAAAAGATTGCCACAACAAGCACTTTGAAATTGCAAAGCAAATTGTAAGTTAAAATAAAATTTCATACTTAGTTCCATTCATTTACAAACATCTCAACTCATCACTATAACTAACAAAAACACCCACTAACTATTTTGTAGCAACAACATCAACTGAGATGGAATAAAGCATTACTCAGCAAACAGAGAAACATGTTATCATCTCAAGAGTACAAGACAGAAATTGTATCAATTGAGGAATGCCCACAACAAACCCCACACTCGTAAGATACAAAATCCATAAACTAATCTTCCAATATGCTAAATTTTGCAGTTTCACCTAACTAATTAACTTCATCTCAAACACTGCAAGAATGATAGTGCAATCGCTGTCTGCAATGTTATTAACCAATATGTCAACTGGCAACCTGTGCAGAAAAAACTTCGTCCAACTGAGTAGGTCAAATTTCGAGCACAAATCATCAATCAATTCCTCAATGATGAGAACCGATCCTAGAAACTCGAGCACTACCAAATGTTGACAAAACATACCAAACCATAGAAACAATGAACAAACTTCTTGACAATACAAATATTCAAGGGAACATATCTTTGTACCTTTTTTTTTTTTCTTTTCTTTTCTTTTTTAACATGTGACAAGCACTTTATATACTTTTGGGAATGATCTTTTTCTGGTTATTATGGTTATGGTGAAAATGATTGATGTTGTTGTTGCTCTTCTTCTTGTTATTATTATTGTGGTTGTTCTTCTGATTGTTTGTCTACTTGTTTTTGGTTGCATAAATTTTCATACAGTAAAGGTTGTTTCTAATAATTCTTCAAACTGCAAAATTTTGCAGTTTCATCAGCTTGTTTCTAATAATTTTTAAAACTGCAAAATTTTGTGGTTTGATCAGGTTGTTTCTAATAATTCTTAAAACTGCAAAATTATACAGTTTTGTCGCTATGAAATATGAACTGCATTTCCATATTATACTGTTTTAATAAGAAATTTTCAACAACCTTCTCTGCATTCCATAAAAATAAAAAACAAAACCAGACTGTTACAAAACAACTTCAATAAGTAAAGAACACATTAACAAACAAAAAACAATTCAACCAACTTTATTCATTACTTCCATAATACCAAGTATCACATTTTTTATTATCATAATTCCTCAAATTCAAATACAAATAAAAAAGAATAGATTGTGGCCTCAAATAGCAACCTTGCACGTTTTCTTATTGTGATTCCCATATTTCAAGCACCTCCCACACTTGATTTGCTTCACATTCTCACCCCTAGAAGGTATCCTCTTCTTCTTGTTCCGCCCAGGCTGCTTCTTCGTTATAGGAGGTTTGATAACCGAACTACTAGCACCATCAAAGTCAAATCTCTCACTTGAAGGCACTGGATAAACAGATTCCTTGTATGACTCTCTAAAACAATCTACATGAAAAAAAGGATCAATGAAACCATACACATCTCTACCACTACTACGCAAAGCATGCACAGCATGACAACAAGGAAAACCATTCAATTGCCATTCATGGAAAGAACAAGTCTGTCTGCCAATATCAACATAAAAAGAAATAGAAGAATGAACCTCAAGCACAGTATCACTAGCAACAATCACATCCCAAGACTTAGCTAGCTCCGAAGAGTCCACCAACTTCTTTTCCATAACTGGATACAATTTCGTAGTCCATCTTCTAGATTCAGCTCTTCTATCCGACAATTGAGTCATGATTTGAACCCTAATCATATCAACCATATAAGTAATAAACAACTCATGGGCCCCACCAATCCAATTATTGTAAGACTCGGCAGCATTAGATGACATCTCACCATATCGTTTCCCTCTAAAAAATGCATTGGCCCACTTATCATTTTGCAAACCATCCAACATACTATTAACTCTACCATTCCCAGCAATACACCTCAATTTCTCCATATAATGTTGGAAAGAAGCAACCGTTGGCGCATAAGCACATTTAACTAATATTTTCATCAAACAAAGCTTATAGTTAGTACGAAGTCCCACCAATTTGTCAATCAAATTTCTCTTCAAATGATTCAAGCAATAAGCATGATGTACATTGGGGAAAACCACTGAAAGAGCGTCTAGCAATCCATGTTGACGGTCCGACACAAAAGTCAATCTCCAGCCTGAACCAACAGCCTTTAACAACTGACTTAAGAACCACATCCAATTATCTTGATTTTCAGCGTCAACAATCGCAAAAGCCAAAGAAAACAGACCTGCAAACAAAATCACATGAAACTGCAAAAATTAGCAGACTCACAATACAATAACACACTGACAAACCAAACCTATACTAACTGCAAATAAATACATACCTTGATTACCATCCTTTGATGTTGCTGCAAGCAAATGCCCCTTGTAACGCCCCTTCAAAAATGTACCATCAACAAACAACAACGGACGACAAAATTGAAAGCCATACAAGCATCCATGAAATGCCACAAACAACCTCCGAAAACACCCACTACTTTCATTCACATCTAATTCAAACACACTTCCCGGATTCGTTCTCATAGCCGTCTCAAGGTACCATCGAAGCTGGTCAAAAGAAGTTGCAAAATCACCAAACCAACCCACCTCTTGCCTTATCAACTCCTAACCATGCAACCCGATAAGAAACATCTATACCATATTGCTTCTTTAACTTTTTTTTTAACTTCAATAGGACGAGTCAACGGATTATCACTAATATCATTTTGCACAATATTAGACACAAGTCTAGAACCAACCATTTTGCTACAAGATCTACGAGCAACAACCCCACAAGTATGCACATTATCCAACTTCATTATAAAAAAAACACCGAAATCCATCAACACCTTTCCATGCACAAACCATTTACAACCCGTAGACGACTTCATCATACATTCAGCAGTTACTCTTGTTGCATCGTTCTTCAAATAATTCACTGCAAAACCACACTTAACTGCATACTTAGCCAATACAATGCGGAACGCCGGCACTCCACCTTCAAATTCTTGACCAACACTATGTATAATCCCCTTCCAACTAGCGGACAACAAAACTCTCTCTGGTTCTGGATAAAAACTACGCAACAAACCACCAACATCATCACAATCATTCACAAAAGAACTCTTACAAGTTACAAAATCAATCCTACAAGAATTACCATCATCAACCTCCACAACTCTCTTATCCCCCACAATAACATCAACAACATGACAACTACTACCACTTACCATTGACAGCATATTCCCCAAATCATCATCACATTCAACAATACAATTAGAATATCCAGGAACAGAGAAAAACAAACAAAAGTAACCAACACTCAACTCCTTGAACTTCGCACATATTTTCTCAACAACTTCATCATAACTACATCCCTCGCTAATATTAATAGCAGCACAACAATTACTGTATTTGCACATTAACATGAAACACCCCTCCATACTACAAAATCACAAACCAACAAACAATTGTTCACAGATTCCAAACTGCAAAATTATACAGTTACAACATATCAATACCAACAGTGCACAATTCACAATTCCAAACTGTAAAATTATACACTTACAACATATCAGTATCAAAACACCAGAATTCACAATTCCAAAATACAACTTCAAAACACATTACACTATATGACAAACAAAATCAACAAAATCAAAATCAAACAAACAAAATTTGCCAAACACAAACCACATATCACGCAAATTTGCTTATCTATATATACATACATATATGTATCGACAAATACAAACCACATACACACACAGACATATGTATATATACATATATATGTATATCTATGTATCGACAGATACATACATATACATACATATATATATCACCAGATACAGAGAGAGAGAGAGAGAGAGAGATAGAGAGAGAGAGAGAGAGAGACAACGTACGCAGATATTGCCTGTACACAGAGATTCAGATCGCACAACCAGATCCACCTCACAGCACAATGAGATCGACCACACAGCACAATGAGATCGCTACAACGAAGAGAAATCAAGATCGCAAAGACAAAGATTTGATTTCCTTTTTTTAAACGGAGCAAAAATTTGATTTTTCACGTATATATAGATCTCAAAACAAAGGGTAATACAGTCATTTAAAAATACGAAAATAAAAAACGGGACCTCTGGGTATAAAACTTAAAAAACTGTGGACCTATTAATCTATTAAAAATAAATTGGGATTAGAAGGAAAATAGATCCCCTACATAGGACTACATGGTAATTTTCCCTTAAATTTTATTATGACTTATGATTATATATGAAAATTTTGAAGCTTTTTTACAAATGAGGCCTAAAGCCAATGCTTCAATTGCCTAAGGCTTCAGCCAACACTGAAATAAACAAACAATTTGAAATAGAACAAATTTCTTGTAGAATTTATAATCGAATAATTAAAAAATAAAATTTCATTTCGCAAAATAATGAAGACCCATGTAATAAATAAGAGAATACTAAAAATGCTAGAGATGTCAAAAATTTTATCAAAAATTTTACCAAATGTCTCATATAGATGTGGCACCCATACAATGTGATGTCAAAAATTCTATCTAAAATTCTACCAAATGTTTTATATGGGTGTGGAAGCTATACAATGTGGCTTTCATGTGGGTCCCACACCCATGTAAAACATTTGGTAGAATTTTGATAGAATTTTTGAGATTTTTAATATTTTTGTTCATAAAATTTATCAATTATAACACAAGGTACTCATTAGATCAAATATTTGATCTAATCTAGAAAAGTTGTTTTAATAACGGCATCCAAAATGTCCATAGAAACTTAATTTATTATTAGGGATTTTTTTTATGGTCACTGTTATTGAGATTTTATAGTATAAAGGACACCAAATATTTTTATAATGTCTAAGGTCCCTCAATTTGATCCAAAGAAATTTCATCCAGAGAATTTCTCTAGACTTCCCAGAGAAATTTCTCTTCAGAGAAATTCCCATCTAAAGAAATTTCATCGAGAGAAATTTCTTCCCAGAATTTCTCTGGACCTCTGAATGTGAACGTGGTAAGAATGCAAGCATCAAACAACACTGATTTGCTTCTATTCCCCCTAACAACAACAGGTTTAACAATTGTATCAACATCAAGGATACTTCTGCAGGCATGTTTGTGCACTTCATCCCATCATGTTTTCTCTTTTCAACATCATTTCTTGAAGCAAAGTATATCCATGCATGATTTACAGCTGGAGAAATATTTTTCAACAGGGAACATTGATATTGTTTTGTGGAAATTTGAGACCACCAAATACTACTGCATTGTCATTGATGCTCCTGGCCATCGTGATTTCATCAACTCCACCACTGGTAGTTTTGAAGCTGGTATTTCCAAGGATGGTCAGATGCCTGAGCAGCATGCTTTGCTTACCTTCATTCTTGGTATCAAGCAAATTATGGGAATTTCTCTGGCCTTTTCTAGAGAAATTCTCTCCAGAGAAATTCCCGAATTTCTAAATTTCTCTGGATGAGAATTTCTATGGAGAGAATAAGAGATGAAATCGAACTGCTTGAAGATTAGTGAGATGCCGTAGAGATCAAGTAGCGAGAGAGAGAGAGAGAGAGAGATGAACTTGAGCTATGAGGAACTCATATTCATCTTCTCTATATATTGGGTGAGTCACATTATCTAAAACCCAATCTCCTTTGAAGAGGGGTTCAAACCAAAGAAAATTACACATGACAGAGAAAATTAAACATGGTAGAGAATTTCTCTCCAAAGAAATTCTAGGAAGGTCAGAGAAATTTTGGATTCCAATCTAGAGATTTTCTCTGAATTTTTAGAGAATTTCTCTGGATTTTCTCTGAATTTTCTTTGGATTTCAAGTGAACTATAAAGCATAAAGTTTGTTTGATTGCCAAGAAAAATAAGTGAAAAATAATTTCCATCCACAGAATACTATGCTAATTGATGATAAGTACCAAGTTAAACCATATATTTTTCCCTTTTCAAGCACAGTATTGTATCTTCATCATCTCAGAGAAATTCCCAGACAAACATTTCCAGAGATTCTCTTACCCAGAGAATTTCTCTGGACTCCACAACCCAGAGAAAATTTCCAGACAAATATTTCTAGAGAAATTCTTTCAACTCAAAGAATTTCTCTAGACTCCACAACCCAGAGAAAATCCCAAACAAACCTTTCCATATTGCCAGCACTTGTATTTGAACCCACAGTTGGAAGGCTATGGGAAAAAGATCAAGAGGATTTGCATTGCGTGTCCACTGGAAGGCACTGTTGGTTGTGGAGAAAAGCAAAACCCTTCACACTTCGCTGAGCCTAATCCATTTTATGATCACCACCTCATCTTCACATATTCATCACATACACAGTTATATATATATATATATATATAAATTATTCCTGTAATTCATCAATCTCAAAGACCATTTTTGTGAAATTGATTCAATTTTTAGTGTTATGCTCTAACTTTGCTTTGAAATTTTCGCGAATTTCGTCTATGTGAGGGACAATTTCTATACTTATATACATATACATAGGTATATATGTTGGAAGGTTGGCGAAGATGGTGCTGATTCGTGAGCTGGTATGGTGTCGGTGTGAGCCAACAGCGACTTGGGTCGCGGTGTTCGTGTGTTCGGAGTTGCTGCGATGGGCGGTGTGAAAACGATGGTGATCCTCGGCAGCGGTGGGAGATAGACGAAGCACTAGTTTGATGTAGGAAAGAGAGAGAGCAGAGAGTGAGAAGAGACAAAGAGTCAAATTTCTCTAATATATGTTTAGGGACCTTAGACATCAAAAAATAATTTTGTAGATCTCTTTCATTACGAAAAATAGAAGAGGGACCTTAGACTAATTTTTCCTTTATTATTTGGTATTTTATTATCTCATGTATATTATTATTATTATGTAAATTTAATATTTATAATAATAATAATTATTAAAAAATAACACATCACAAAATGAATAAAATATAATAAAAATAAAAATAATATTATAAAACTTAACAAACCTCATAATTTTTTAAGACAATTACAAAAAAATAAATAAAAATGATATCAATTCAAAATAATTACAAAATGATGAAAGTACAAGACATATTTATATAATTCAATACATAAATTATTTGTACATTCATTGCATTGCAATTATTTTATTTTAATATTATTTTTCTACAACTATCCTTAATTTTTTAGTAAATATGTCATGTAATAACTTTAAATTTTAAAATTTTAAGAATAAATTAATGCTGAGGTTTGTGTAAAATACTGGTTTTAAAAATTACATTATCCCCTTAATATAGCGATCCCGGGTTTACCCTTATTGTATAGTGATCCGGACATGTGTCCGTGGATGTTGGTAGTTGATTATTATCTTGTTTACATCCTTTTTACTACGTATTTGGGTTATAGGATGTGTTGGGCAGATTTGTTTCAGGTTGGTTGAGTTTAGAAACCAAAACTAGTTGCCCAGATTTTGGCCGGTCCGCTCGAGCGGGGGTGTTGGCGCTCGAGCGGGGAATACTGATAGTACATGTAAACATTCAAGCCTAGGGCTTTACTTGTATTTGAGTTAGAACTCATCTTTTAGTGTCCAAGTGTTGGCTTGGAAAGATGTAAGCCCGTAGGGCATTTAATTTGATGTTACATGTAATGCTTTTATTTTGTAATACTCTGATGAATGAGATAATGAATTGTTTCTTTAAATATTGCATGTCAATGATAAATATATAATGGGTTTGTTTTGAGGGCGTTACACACACCTTCATCAAAATTTCCACACCTTTTCTTTCATCATCATCATTATCATTTTGGAGTATAGAAAGATCCAGATCCACAGAAGAGGGGGGGAAAAAAATCGACAACAACATCTAAAACAGAGGCGATCGAGTGGGTTTGATTCATAAATTTTTTTTTTTTTTTTTTGAAACACACATAGTTCTGCAAATATTGGGTTTGATTTTTTCCTGTTTGTGGGTTTTGTAATGTTATCTTTGGGTGTTGACTATTTGGATTTGGATCTAAATCTAAGAGGTTGTTGACAATGAGAGAGTGAAATATATATATATATATATATATGTATTATACATATGTATCTGTCATTGTTGAATATTTGGATTTGTGTGTGTGTGTGTGAGAGAGAGAGAGAGTGAGAGAGAAATGGATAACAGAGGAAGACAAACTTCATTTGAGGGAGACGTGGAATTGTTTGTTTCTGAGTTTGATTTTGATTTCGGTTTGATT